AAGATTAAGAATTCTTTAAATTATATTTTTTAAAAGTCTTGATAGAAACCTGTTGCCTAAAATGATCGATTTTAATTTATTCTTAGCATATTTCTTAAAAATAAGGATGTTATTTGATATATACTATAACTTGATTCCCAAATTATTTGGTATTAATGTTAAATATATTGTACGATTTTTGCTAAAATGATCGATTTTAATTCGTTCTTAGCATATTCTTAAAAATAAAGTTGTTACTTGATATATTCCATAACTTGAATGCTAACTAAATTTGGTATTAAATGTACACTTTACTAAAATTTAATTCGTTCTTAGCATAAATAAAGTTATTACCTAATATATATGTACATACATATACATGTACTGCAACTTGAATAGCAAGTAGTTTTTTACCAATTTGGCATTAAATATCTGCAGTAGAAATTATTGTGGCTTAAGCACTAACTAAAGAGTATATCGAAACTGGTTACGGCATAAATCATAAAAGTTTCTATCGTATTTTTAATTAATGTTAGAATTTAATTAAATATGTATTTAATTAATGTTAACAGAATTAAAATAATAATTATAGTGATAGATCAATTATTTAACCTGAATTTTAAGTTCCTTACAAGTTATTAACTTACTTTGTTTATAACAAACCTGTTTTACAGAGCCGATTCTTTCTCTATCATATATATTAATAAAAATATCTATGTATGATCGTAATGCCAATAGTATAAATATCTTGTATGTAATGGTAATATTCTTATAACGATAATTTTTTCGTTTATGATCTAAATTATGGAGGATTCGGGTCCTAATTCACCATTAGAATCTGAACAATCAAATCAACCTACTCATGCTAATAAAAATAATAAAAGAGGGCGACCTAAAAACCTACTTTGGAATGATCATTTTACAGAAATTAATCGTCAAGAAGGTGGTCACAGAGGTTGGAAATGTAACTATTGTAATGATGAAAATTCACGTGCATCAGATATGAATATGAACACACATTTAGCTTTAACTTGTCAAAGCGTACCACTTAATATTAGACAAGATTGTTTACGAAACTTTCCAGCACCAAATAAAAGAAAAAAAATTGTACATGATATTGTTAGTGGTTCGCAACCATGAATTAATAATAAATTTCAAAGCATTAGTGTAATGGATCCTGGACAAGAACAATTATGTCATAAAGCACTAACCTGCTTTGTCTTTTTTGTGTAATCTAACTTAGAACTGAGAATATTCTTTCATATAGAGGTCCAATCCAGATAAATCTGTCATCCATTTATCCATATCTGAATTTATCCGGATATTCATTTACTATTGGTATCCGGATAATCTGACAAATATTTAGATAATTATCCAGATATCAATAGTAAAATGGATATCCGAATAAATTCAGATCTGGATATCCAATAGATGAATGGATAAACGGATAATGGATAGGAACTCTACTTTTACAGCTTGCGCTGTGTAAAGTAATTGCTAATAAATATAATGCAAGTTTTTGCAATAGATGATTTGAAAGTTTACACCCATTCCACCAGGTTTGTGGAGTTTCAACTCCTTCCACAAAAGAATAATTATATGGTGGTTCAAATATATCATACATTTTGATTTGTGCTACAAGTAAATTTGCACTTGCTAATCCACCACCAATTTTTTTTCAAATTTCAAGAGCCGTATGCAAATTTTGATGAAATATTGAATCTTTCATACCTTTTCCTCGATATTTCGGGTGAAGAAAATATGCCAAGAGATAAAATTTTATATCAAATTCTTTCCAATGTTTGTTATAAAATTGAATACATTGCTTACGAAATTCTATACGTTCTAATAAATCATTTTTTTTAAGTGCATTAATAGCCACTGCCATTTGAACAAGAAATAAAAAGATATTAGCAGTTGTAGTAGTTTTAGATTCAACTATTTTAACTGCATTTTTAGCAGGAGATAAAACTTTTGCTAGAACATCAGCATTTGCCCAAAACTGACGGTCTTGTGTAAGATCTCGTAATTCTGGTGTCATAGCAAACTTATCATCATCTAAGATCTAAATTAAATTTTAATATATAAATCTTAAATATAATTTAATATAGAATTATCACAACTCGTCATAATTATAATAAGTTGTGGTAAAAAATACTGTAACTTATTATAATTATGACAAGTTATGGTATTGTATTTATATTAAAAATTTTTTTAATAAT